ATGTATGGGATGCAGCAAAAGCAGTAATAAGAGGAAAATATATAGCAATAGATGCTCACATCAAGAAACAAGAAAGAACTCAAAGAAACAACCTAATCTCGAAGCTCAGAGATCTAGAAAAAGAACAACAAAAAAACCCCAAAACCAGTAGAAGAAAAGAAATAATAAAAACCAAAGCAGAAATAAATGAAATTGAAACTAAAAAAACAATCCAAAAGATCAATGAAACCAAGAGCTGGTTCTTTGAAAAAATCAATAAAATAGACAAACCCCTAGCCAGGCTCACAAAGGAAAAAAGGGAGAAAGCACAAATAAACAGGATCATAAATGAAAGAGGAGAAATCACAACGGACACAGCAGAAATCAAAAGAATAATCAGTAACTACTATGAACAGTTATATGGAAACAAGTTCAACAATCTAGAGGAGATGGACAAATTCCTACAACTCTACAATCACCCAAAGCTAGATAAAGAAGAAATAGAACACCTAAACAGACCAATTACAAGCAGCGAAATTGAAATGGTAATCAAAAACCTCCCCAAAAACAAAAGCCCAGGACCTGATGGATTTACAAATGAATTCTACCAAACATTCAGAGACGAATTAGTGCCTAGCCTTCACAAACTCTTCCAAAAAATTGAGAAGGAAAGGATAATACCAAACACGTTCTATGTAGCCAACATTACACTAATACCAAAACCGAATAAGGACAACACAAAAAAGGAAAACTACAGGCCAATCTCCCTAATGAACACTGATGCAAAAATCCTCAATAAAATTTTAGCCATCAGAATCCAACAATGTATCCATAAGATAATTCACCACGACCAAGTAGGATTCATTCCAGGGACACAAGGATGGTTCAACATCCGAAAATCAATCAACGTTATCCAACACATCAACAAAAAGAAATATAAAAACCATATGATAATATCAATAGATGCTGAGAAAGCTTTCGACAAAGTGCAACACCCATTCATGATAAAAGCCCTTGAAATTCTTGGGATACAAGGAACATACCTCAACATCATAAAGGCCATCTATGACAGCCAACAGCCAGTATCATCCTCAATGGTGAAAAGCTGAAAGCAATTCCATTAAGATCTGGAACAAGACAAGGATGTCCACTCTCACCACTGCTTTTCAATATAATACTGGAAGTCCTAGCCAGAGCAATAAGACAAGAGAAAGATATACAAGGAATCCAAATAGGAAAAGAAGAAGTCAAACTATCACTATTTGCAGATGATATGATAATATACGTAGAGAACCCCAAAAACTCCACAGAAAAACTAATTCAACTCATCAATCAATTCAGTAAAGTGGCAGGATACAAAATCAACACGCAAAAGTCAGTAGCCTTCTTATACACAAACAATAAATCTGAAGAAGAAGAAATGAAAAAAACCATCCCTTTTATTATCGAAACAAAAAAAATCAAATATTTGGGAATAAATCTAACAAAAGAGGTAAAGGACCTATACAAAGAAAATTATAAAACACTGTTAAAAGAAATAGAAGAAGACACAAAGAAATGGAAAGACCTCCCCTGCTCATGGATTGGAAGAATAAACATTATTAAAATGGCCATCCTACCAAAAGCAATATACCGATTCAATGCTATTCCAATCAAAATTTCAATGTCATTCTCAAAGAAATAGAACAATTATTGATGAAATTCATATGGAATCACCAAAAACCCCGAATAGCCAAAGCTCTCCTGAAAAAAAAAAGAAGGAAATGGAGGCATCACACTCCCAGACTTCAAACTATACTACAAAGCCATAATCATCAAAACTGCATGGTATTGGAACAAGAACAGACATACAGACCAATGGAATTGAATAGAAAATCCAGAAATAAACCCACAGATTTATGGTCAACTAATCTTTGACAAAGGAGCAAAGACTATGCATTGGAGCGAAGAAAGTTTGTTCAATAAATGGTGCTGGGAAAACTGGGTTGCTACATGCAAAAGAATGAAGCTTGACCACTACCTCACACTATACACAAAAATCAACTCGAAATGGATTAAAGAACTAGACATAAGACCTGAAACCATAAAATACATAGAAGGAAATATAGGCGAAACACTACGTGATTTGCATATCAAAGACATCTTTACAGACACATCACCCAAAGCAGTGATAGTGAAGGCGAAGATAAACAGCTGGGACTACATCAAATTAAAGAGCTTCTGCACAGCAAAAGAGACAATAACCAAAACAAAGAGAAACCCCACCAACTGGGAGAACATTTTTGCACCCAACACTAATGATAAAGGACTGATCACAAAAATCTGCAAAGAGCTGATAAGACTCAACAACAACAAAAAAATAACCCAGTCAAAAAATGGGCAGAAGAGCTAAAAAGAAACTTCTCTGAAGAGGAAATGCAAATGGCCAACAGGCATATGAAAAAATGTTCAACATCACTTGTAATCAGGGAAATGCAAATCAAAACTACCATGAGATACCATCTTACACCAGTGAGAATGGCACATATTAAAAAAACTAGCAACAACAAATGTTGGCGAGGTTGTGGAGAAAAAGGAACTCTCCTGCACTGTTGGTGGGAATGCAAACTGGTCCAACCACTAGGGAGAGCTGTGTGGAGATATCTGGACCTACTAAACATAGAGCTTCCATATGATCCAGCAATTCCACTCCTAGGTATTTACCCAAAGGACACAGAAACATCAATTCCAAAGAACACCTGCACCCCTATGTTTATAGCAGCACTATTTACAATAGCTAAGCTTTGGAAACAGCCCAAATGCCCAAAAATAGATGACTAGATCAAGAAGATATGGTGGGCCTCCCCAGTGGCGCAGCGGTTGAGCGCTGGGTTGCGAAGCTGCCCGCAGCCTCTGCAGCGCCAGTTTGATCCCTGGCTGCTCCCCGGCCACAGGAGGAGGGTCCCGCATGTCACGCAGACCTCTCCTGCCGCCCGCTCCTCCCCTCAGCAGTGTGCTTTGGTCCTTCTGCCTGCTCTGCTCCCTGCTCTGGCTCTGGTGAATTCTCTCACCCTCCTGCGCTTGTGACTGTACCCAGTGCTTGTATAAATAAATAAATAAATCTTTAAAAAAAAAAAAAAGAGATGTGGTACATATATACCATGGAATATTACTCAGCATTCAAAAAAGATAAACACATGCAATTTGCAGCAACATGGATGGCGCTGGAAGGGATCATGCTCAGCGAAATAAGCCAAAAAGAAAAAGAAAAATACCGGATGGTCTAACTCATAGCAGGAATCTAGAAAACTTAAATAAGGGATCAGGAAAATGAATAACTATAAGAAAGTGAAAATCAAAATCAACAAAAAACTATGAACCAGAGACACTTTTTGGGGGGTGGGGGCCTGGAGGGGAGTAATTGGGGTCAGAATGGGGCATGTGCAGTTGTATGGGGGAATATAAAAATAAAATTTATTATTTAAAAAAAAAAAGGGTCTCCCCGGTGGCGCAGCAGTTGAGCGCTGGGTTGCGAAGCTGCCCGCGGCCTCTGCAGCGCTGGTTCGATCCCCGGCTGCTCCCCGGCCACCAGACGAGGGTCCCACATGGCGCGCAGACCTCTCCTGCCGCCCACTGCTCCCCTCAGCAGTGTACTTCGGTCCTTCTGCCTGTTCTGCTCCCTGCTCTGGCTCTGGTGAATTCTCTCACCCTCCCGCGCTTCTGACTGTACCCAGTGCTTGTATAAATAAATAAATAAATAAATAAATAAATCTTTAAAAAAAAAAAAAATAAAAAAAAAAGAATAAACAGGTATTTTAATACAATTTTTTTTAAGATTTATTGTATTTATTTGTGCATACAAGAATTGGGGTATAGGCCAGAGGTACAGGGGGTGAGAGAATTAACCAGAGACAGGTTGGGGAGCAGAAGAGACTGCTCTACTGCAATACACTGCTGTGGGGACAGCGGGTGAGACAGGAGAGGTCAGCTGTGCCATGTGGATAAGCTCCCTGGCTGGAGATCAAACTCATGCCGTGGTGGCTGGTGATAGCTTGATAGTGCTGAGACTTAAACCATGTGCACCAGAAGGCCCATATTTTAATACAAATATTTTCATGTTTGGGAAAAGATGAGTTTTCTCATTTTTGCAGCAAGTCATAAAGGAATTTCAAAAGAATTTGAACTGAAATTTGGCAGACTGTCCCTCTCAAGTGTATTAAATTTTAATCATACTCATTATGCATAAGGCACTGGGCCGTTTTTGTTTTTTTGTTTTTTTTTTTAAAGATTTATTTATTTATTTATACAAGCACTGGGTACAGTCAGAAGTGCGGGAGGGTGAGAGAATTCACCAGAGACAGAGAGCGGAGCAGAACAGGCAGAGTGACGAAGTACACTGCTGAGAGGAGCAGCGGGCACAGCAGGAGAGGTCTGTCGCGCCATGTGGGACCCTCGCTGGAGGCTGGGGATCGAACTTGCACTGCAGAGGCTGCGGGCAGCTTCACAGCCCAGTGCTCAACCGCTGCGCCACCAGGGGAGGCCCCACTTGGTCTTTTTTTATACAGCACTGTTCTGAAAACCATAGCAAACCAGTATGTAAAATTTAAAATAAAACCTTAATTGCATTGTCTTTCAAGAATATAAAGGAACAAAACAAAGAAACAGACAAAAATAATCCATTAAAATCTGACTGCAGAACTGAGCATAACAGAAAGTGGATGGCAGGATGGTAGCCAAATGAGGAGAGAATCCAATGGGCTGTGGTGGAGGATTACTGGGACTTTGGTGGTAGGTGTAGTATTAAGCTCAGTGTAGTCTGATAATACACATTTGTTGAGGTGTGAACCTATACCTCTAAAATTTACAGTGTTGTAAATTAACATTACCTCAATAAACATTTTAAAAAACAAAGTAGAATCAAAATTATCTAAAAAAGAAGACAAAGATGCGTATACTTGGAAATTTAGAAATCTTTATCAACTCTTGTTAAATAATGACATCAATTTTTTTGTAGGAATTTAACAATTTTTTTCCCAATGCAGAACTAGAATGTGAAACAATAAAACAGGAGAATACAAGACTACAGAATATTGTTGATAATCAGAAGTACTCAGTTGCAGACATTGAGAGAATAAATCATGAAAGAAATGAATTGCAGCAGACCATTAATAAATTAACCAAGGACCTGGAGGCTGAACAACAGCAGCTGTGGAATGAAGAGCTAAAGTATGCCAGAGGCAAAGAGACGGTATGTGATACCATTTCCAAAATGGCAGCCCATCAGAGCTGACCTTTGTAAAGATTCATCCCAATTATGAGGACCTCAATGGGTGAAACAAATTTGCTAAAGAGGTTAAAAAGAAAAATTAGCAATGACATTTTACTAAAACTTCCCTTTATGTCAATTTATAACATCTCTATTTCTCTCACTCAAATTTAAGGTAGTCTGTATTTTCTAACAGTGAACCAAGAAATAAATAATAAAGTCTCTAAGGTCATGAAAATTTTCATAAAAGCCTTTTTATTCTAGAAGAGGATATGAATCACCTCTTCTATTAACAATTCACTAATCAAACATTTATTTAATAGCTGTGTGATTTACTATACTGGGCATCGAGGAAATAAAGATAAAAAAGACATATTCTACCCTCGAGAAACTTCCAGTCTAACTGATGTGTTCCTACTATGAGATTAGATCCTTCATAAATGTGTGCACAGGGTACTGAGGAAGCATACAATACACCTAACCCAAATTTAATGTGGGAAGATAGATGAGGTGACTTTTAGAAAACTGCCTTGAAGAGGTAACACCTGAACTGAATTGGAAAGTATATGGAAGGGTTAGCATAGTAAGGGTAGGAGAGTCAGGAGGAAAAAATGAAAGAAGTAGTAGCATGAGATACACTCTGGTATTATAAACTTTTAATATAAATAGAGCTTAATAGCAAGGGGCAAGGTGGGCATGTTACTCAAAATAAGCATAGAAAAGGTGGTTAAAGATCATTTAATATTTAGAATTTTGGTCTTTATCCTGAAAGCTCCAAGAATTTTAAACAGATATGATCACATTTCAGAAAGATCACGTTTTTAGTAGTGGGACAAATGAATTCATATGGAACTATGACAGGAGTGTGATGAGAAATTATAAGCTGAAGTGCTAGTGGAGATTCAGAGAAATGAATGGATTTTTACTACTAAGGAAGTATAGTGAATAAGACTTGGTTAAAGAAGAGGTAGTAGTAATGGTGTCTGACTTGGGATTTGGACAAGCCAAAGTACCACTACTTTGGAATTGAACTAAGAAGTTGCCAGTCAGGAATGAGAATGGTGTGCTAGATTTGTTATGCCCATGGTACATCCAAATAAAGATATCTGATATACTATTGTATAAATGGATGTGGATCTCAACAAAAAAAATCTGGGTTTGCAGTGTAGATTTACTATGTTGTTCTACTTAACTATACTGTGTACTGTTTACTCTTACTTTTAAGATGGCTCAATGTGCATGAATTTAAGTTAACAGGCTGTTTTAGAGACAATTTTCCTATCAAATAATTGAACAGCAATCTTTATTGTTATATATGCAATTTGCATTCCTAAGAAAAAATAAAAGTTAAGACTTTTTCTAAGAAAAGGAAAGAAATCTTTTAAAGAGCCTTTTTTTTTAAAGACTGAAGAGTTTCAGATTTTAATTTTGGGTTGAAGTTTTTCATCCTGGTATTTTCAATTATAATTTTTTTTATTGGTAGATATAATTCCAAAGTTAAACCTCACAGAAAATTTAGTCTCTAACAATAATACTTTCACTTCTTTCCTTAGTACAATATTTTTTTATATGCAGGTACACCTTGGAGATATTGTAGATTCAGTTCCAGACTACCACATTAAAGTGACTATCACAAAGAAGTTACTGATATTTTTTTGTTTTCCAGTGCCTACGAAAGCTATGTTTGCACTATGTGATAGCTTATTAATTCTGCAACAGCATTATGTCCAAAAAAGCAGTGTTATTTACTTTACATTAAAAATGTTAAATTCCAGCCTCCTGGTGGCGCAACAGGTTGAGCGCCACGCTGTGAAGCTGTCCGCAGCCTCAGCAGCACAGTTTCGATTCCCGGCCAGCCAGGGCGAAACCCACATGGCACAGCAGCCCTCTCCTGCCTTGCCCGCTGCTCCCCTCAGCAGTGTCTTGGTCTGTCTGCCTGTTCTGCTCCCTGTTCTGTCTCTGGTGAATTCTCTCACCCTCCCGCGCCTCTGTCTTGTACCCCAGTTCTTGTATAAATAAATAAATCTTAAAATATATATAAATAAAAATGTTAAATTCCTCTGAGCCTTTAGCAAATCATCTTTTTGCTGGTAGTCTTGCCTCAATGTTTATAACTGCTGACTGATCAGGTAGTGCTTGCTGAAGGTTGGAGTGACTGACATTTTCTTATAATGAGAGAACAGTAAAGTTTGCTACAGTGGTTAATGAATCTTTATTTCACAATAGACTTCTGTGGAGCATACAATGCTCTTTGATAGCGTTTTGCTCAAAGTTAACCTTTTTTTTTTTTTTAAAGATTTATTTATTTATGCATACAAGAGCTGGAGTACAGGCCAGAGATGCAGGGGGTGAGAGGATCCACCAGAGACAGAGCAGGGAACAAAAGAGGTAGACTGACTGAAGTACACTGCTGAGGGGAGTAGTGGGCAAGACAGGAGAGGTCTGCTTTGCCATGTATTTTGCTCCCTGGCCAGCCCGGGATTGAACTTGTGCTGCAGAGGCTACGGATTGCTTCACAGTGCAGTGCTTAACCCCTTGCACCACCAGGGAGGCCCCAAAGTGAACCTTTTAAAATTGTATTCATTCCTCTCAAATACTGTTACTGTTTTATCAGCTAAGTTTATGTCATTTTCTAAATCCAGTTTTATCTTCAACAAATTCATAGCATCTTCACCAGGAGTAGATTCCATTTCAAGAAACCACTTTCTTTATTCATACATAAAAAGTAACTTATTATCTATTAAAGTATTACGAGATAGTAGCAGTCACCATCTTCAAGCTCCACTTCTAATTCTAGTGCTCCTGCTATTTTCACCACATCTTCAGTTACTTCCACCACTGCCCCTCTAAGTCATCCATTGGAATTAGAAACAACTCCCAAATTTCTGTTAATGTTGATATTTTTATCTCTTCCCATGAATCATGAGTGTTCTTAATGGCATCTAGAATGGTGACTCTTTCCGGAAGATTTTCAGTTCACTTTGCCTAGCTCTGTCAGAGCAATGGCTATGGCCATAATAACCTTATGAAATGTATTTCTTAAATAAAATGACTTCAAAGTCAAAGCAACTCTTTCATCCATGGGTTGCAAAATGGTTATTATGTTAGCAGATATGAGAACAATACTAATCACATTGTACATCTCCATCAGACCTCTTACTTGGATGACAGATACATTGTCAATGTATAGTATTAGAAAGGAATTTTTTATTCTGAATAGTAGGTCTCAAGAGTGGGCTTAAAATAGCAAGTAAACCATGTTGTTAACAGATATGCTGTTATCCATACTTTGTTATTCCAATTATAAGAGTATAGGCAGAGTGTATTTAGCATAATTCTGGGATTTTAGGAATAGTAAATGGATCTTGGCTGCATTAGCCCCTAACAAGACAGCCTGTCTTTTATAATGTAGAGCCAAGCTTTGATTTCTCCTCTCTAGCTATGAAAGCCTATATGGCACCTTCTTTCAATAGAAGAATGTTTCATCTACATAGAAAAATCTGTTGTTCCATGTAGCCATTTTCACAATTATTTTAGCTGGATCTTCTGGATCTTGATGCAATTTTTACATCAGAACTTACTCCTTCACCTTATATTTTTGTGTTATGGATATTACCAATCTCTGCTAGCTTCAAACTTTTCTTCAGCAGGTTCTTCACCTCACTCAACCTTTATAGAATTAGAGTTAGGGCCTTGCTCCAGATTAGGCTTTGGCTTAAAGGATTACTGTGGCTGGTTTGATCTTCTGTTCACATCACTAAAACTTTCTCTATCAGCATTAAGGGTGTTTCTCTTTTTTACTATGCATGCGTTCACTGGAGTGGCATTTTAATTTCTTTCAAGGACTTTTCCTTTGTAGTTACACTTGGCTAAATATTTGGCACAAGAAGCCTGGCTCTTGGCCTGTCTCAGCTTTTAACATGCCTTCACTTACTAAGATAAATCATTTCTAGTTTTTGATTTAAAGTGAGAGATATGCAATGCTACCATTCTCTTACAGACTTAAGAGGCCATTGTAGGGCTAATAATTTCAATATTGTGTCTCAGGAAATAGGTCCAAGAGGGAGAGAGATGGGGGACAATCAGCCAATTGATGGAACAATCAGAAAACATACATTTAATGGTTAAGATCACTGTATTATATGGGTATGGTGCCCGAAAACAATTGTAATAGTACTATCACAAAGATCACTGATCACAGATTACCATAACAGATACAATAATAATGAAAAAGTTTGAAATATTGCAAGAATTACCAAAACATGTCATGAGGTATAACTGTATTTTTATTACCATTGTTAAGTTGAAAAAAAAAAATAGTTCAAAGAAAGCAGCTTGTTTGCCTAAAGAAAAATGGTGGTTTTTAACGCTGGTCACATTATGAAGTACATTATAGGCATAATGCAAATTGTTTCTTAATCAAATGTTAACTGTTTTGCATTATTAAACTTTGTGTTATTTATTCGGAGTCTGTATTTAACAAATTCACATACATAATGTGGAATGAACAATTCACTATGAGCGATAATAATACCTTTTTTTTACCATGTTTTACCATACTTTTGCTTTACCTTAACCATCTGAGCTGCCTCATCCTCTTGACTCTTTGGGTAATGTCTGTCCCCATGTATTAAGGAGAAAAATATACATTCATAAGAAATAGCCTGTGGTGGTGATCTGAGAAGTCTTTGAACCTAGATTTTGGTGAGCCTATGATCTGTCCCTGGATTTCCACCACTCATCTTTGTGACTTCAGCGTGTCTAACCTCATAGCCTCAGTTTCCTAATGTATAAATGATGTTTAATTAGAATAGATGAATGAATCTGAAATGATTCATTAATACCTCTAGATATCTCTAGATATTAATGAATATAATCTTCAGATTTAATCAGTCTATCTTCTCTCTCAAGCATTATATGGAAAAGAGAAAGTTATGAGTGTCTGGGCAAGGTGAACTCTAAATTTAAATAGCTAAAATTAGATATACTAAAAAGAATACTATTTTTGATCAGAGGATAGACCAGGCTGAAGAAGAAAATTGTCTGGGAGGTAAATAAGTAATGGCCAACTAAGAGGCCACAGTAGGGTCCTGGTTCATGTAAAGAAAGCCTTAAGTTACTGGATAAGAGAGATATTAATGAATGGTGACAATGCAAAAGTACAGCATAAACATGTTCATCCATTTCTTTTTCTGGATTAATTTATATCCCACATAATTAACCCCGACAGGTAGTAGCCTCTGGAACTCTTTTGAACTAAACATTGAGGGTGCATATGTACTCCTACGGAAAGAATCTGATCAGTTGTCAATGTCTGAATTGACTATGGGAAAGAGAAAGTAGAGACATGTGTGTCATATATTTGCTCTCCCAATGGTTACACATGATAAAGAATGCAGGCTTGTGAAAGTTTTCATTAGATAAACTAAAAAAAAAAAAAAAAAAAACAACTACCCCCAGACCATTTAGTATAAAGAGAAATAGACCTATATACCTTAGTAGTCCCTGGAGAGTTACAATATTATAATCAGATAGCTAAAATGATTTCCTGATTCATTCATAAATTTTAAATCTATCAGTAGTATTGCTTTTGAGAGCTGATAAATTTTTGAAAACTGCAGATTATTTAAGCAAGTAGTTCCTGTTGGTGTTCTTGCTATTGCATTCTTTCACTCAAAGTATTAATTTTTATGAATGGTAACAGCAACAAGAAACTAGATGTGTATTAAATGGAACAAATCGAAAATAAATTGTCTAACCTCTGAATAGGACAAAGTAAGAGGATGGAAGGGCTAGATTAGAGAAAAAGCCTTTCTGATGATATCATTTAAACAAAACCCTGAAGAAAGAGAAAAAGACCAGAAAATATGGAATTTGTTGCTAAAAATATTTTTATCCAAACAGTTAAAATAACATTTTCAGACTTAAATGATTGCATTTCACTTATTTTAGATAAATGGTAATTTTTTTTGTACACTAACCAAACTTCATTTTCTTAATTTATCTGACACTTCAAGAAGCAAATTTTAATCAATTACTAACTTTTTCTTGCATATAGAAGATCAGTAGTATATTGCTTACTAATCAGCTATATTCTTATTACTCTATAAAGTTAGTGTGAATAAATACAATAAAGGCAATTCTTTGTATTTTTTTTAAATTGCTACCCATCTTACTAAAAACTACCATTTTATTTAACTACCAAAAAAAAGATACGTTATAAAATTACAGAAATGCCCATGGAAAGCCAAATGGAATGGTACAGTTTTTTAATGTTTCTTATTGTGCTCTCTCCTTATAGATTGAAACACAATTAACAGAGTATCACAAGTTGGCTAGAAAATTAAAGCTTATCCCTAAAGGTGCTGAGAATTCCAAAGGTTATGACTTTGAAATTAAGTTTAATCCTGAAGCTGGTGCCAACTGCCTTGTCAAATACAGAGCTCAAGTTTATGTAAGTAATCATGAGTACCTCAAAGGGTTTTTAATGGTATGATTGGTATCTGGTTCGTATATTTATAAGTAAAAATTTAAACTTCAGCATGTCTACTCAAGACTAAACATAAAAATAAAACACTAAAACTTCATTTTTTTTCTTCATAGTAGAAATCTTGTCTCTGTTATACCTTACCGATAATGGACAATGACTCTGATCCCAGTCTTTTGCTATTACAATAGCATTGCAGTGAATAGGTACAATATACATATAAGTTGTTTTCAAGAAAGATGCTGCATTAAACTGAAAGTATTTATAAAATGTGTAATAGTGAATTTCCAGAATAGATTACCAAGTCTAGAATTTTGTAAATACTCAAAACTAAAAGCAAGTTACTAATTGATGGTATATTAATTTAGGTAATCATCATGGCTTCAGTGTTTTGTGTTTTTTTTTCAAAAGTGGCTTCTCCTATTTTAATGTGTGGCTGCCTCATGAGAGCAATTTTGTAATTACAAATGTCATATGTAACCCATATTCCTATGTATTTTATAGGTACCACTCAAGGAACTCTTAAACCAAACTGAAGAAGAAATTAATAAAGCGCTAAATAAAAAAATGGGGTTAGAGGACACTTTAGAACAAGTAAGTAGCAAAATACAGTCATTACAAGCAAAAATAAGATTTTTAAAACTTAAACCTTAACTTAGAAACACATAAAATAATTTTTTAACTAACTTACACATCCTGGGTTTCATATATCATTGCTAATGATGTGGTATGAAACTGAGTATATATTTGCCATTTTTAAAAGAAAATTACTTCCTTCAACTTGGGATAATTTATATTGTGCCTTTGTCTACTAAAAGATTTGAGGTGGCTACGTTTTAAAGTAGAGAAATTGGCTGAGGACTGAATCTTCAGAATAAGCAAGAAAAGTGGGGAGGATATGTGAATCAGGTGAAAGCGATCAATTGTATGATAAAGGATAAAATTAGACTTAAGTGAACTTTAATGTAGTATCTGCAAACATTGATTTACAGTGATGCACACCTGAAACTTACCAAATGTAATGCTGTTACTTCAATTGAATAAAATATCATTGCAAGAAATAAAATATCAGGAAAATCCAAAATGAGAAATGAATCTAATATAAAGATAGAGGGAAATTATTTGAATTTGATTTGTGAAGTAATATAGGGTAAATAAGAAACCTTTTAAAATTTTCCTTTAAGTAGCCCTCATATTACAACCTGACAAAGACATCATAAAAGAAAATTAAGCCAGTCATACTTTTTAATATAAATGTGAAGTTTAACTGTTAGCAACTAAAATTTGTTAACCAGATATTTTTTGAGATCCTGTTATAGGACTGTAATTATTTTATTATGATTGTAAAGGTGAACATGAAAGCAATTACTTTCATCATAATACTTTTCTAATGCAAATATGGTATGCTTTGAATTCTAAAATATACCTAACATGTGAGCACAGGGTTCTCTCTGAAGAAAGTGATAACTAAATTGTGTTGTGAATTACAAGTATGAGTTAGCCAGGGGATACACAGAAACATAAACCTCTGCCCAAAAGACACAGACCAAAGAGCATAGTGTGAAAGAATTGCCGTGTGTGTATTAAGTAGGATAAGAGAGAAGCCTAGAAAACAAAAACCTAATTATGAAGGGACTTATTAGTTGTTCTTGCTTACTGGTTGACTTCTTCTTGCTTACGCAGAGGGAGTTTTGAGGATTTTATAAGGAAATAATGCCTGTGTACTTTAATAAGCTTGTAGTGTTGACATTTTGAAGAATGGACTTAGAGGTACTTGAGACTGGAGATACAGTTAAGAGACCTAACAGCATCTTGAGCAAGACTGTTGCAGTAGAGATGGAAAAAAGATTGAAACAACACAGTTTTGTCGTCTATTTGGACATGAAGATTAAAGATGAGAGAGAAATTAAGAATATACAGTTGTTTGCATGTGGTATATGATGTTAACGAAAAATTGTTCATGACAATTCTCCTGCAATGAGATAAAGGCTATTATAGTGGGATTTTGTAGTAAGTTAGAGAGATTGGACTCAACTTTGAATATAACAACAAAAAATGGAAATTTAATAGCTAAGGAACATCAGGGGTAACAGGTCACTCTGGCTAAACCAATCTGCCATCATCATCAGAGTCACCTGGAACATGGTAGAAAAAGGGAATTTTGATCAGATATTGATAGTAGGGTATTCTGGTTAAACTGTTGTATGAAAAGTGTATGGGAACATTTTTTTGTGTTTTGTGAGGTTTTCTTTTTTTTTTTTTTAATAGTTGAGAGGGTAATTTGGTTTTGTAGACTAGAGAAGGAGTTCAAGGGCAAGAGGGTACAAGTTTTTTTAAGTGAGTAGCAAAATAAATTAATGAAATGACTGTGGTCCATGAAGAAATAGGAAAGCATGGCTTCCAGAGAAGACCTGGAGGGGTTACTTTTCTTCATGAGGAAAATGGGAGTCCTATATCTTAAACTGACTAGAAGGAAGAAGGAAAGAAAAGTCTCATCCAAATATTTTGGTTGGTTAGAGTCAAGAAGTGATACATTTCTAATCTATTAGGTTCTGTTTTCTAAATAATACAAGAAAAGATCATCTAATTAATCGCATTTTTTTCTTACAAGCAACTGGAGCAATCTTAACTAAAAGTGAAAGGAAAGAAGGAAGTTAGGGGAAAGAGGGGGGAGGAAGAGGAGACTGCACAAAGTATGCCAAGAAGGAATAGTGGTTCTTTTTAGCTGCCGAATTATGGGCAATTGGTATATTTTTTAATTTTTCCCCATTTATCACAATGGAAATATATTTTTATAATCGGGGGGAAATGTATAGTTAATAGATGAAACTTTAGTAAAGCTGACAGGGAATATACAAGTACTCAGATAATTAAACATGATTTTGACCACAAGTGTCTACTGGAACTTCTGGCTTCTTGGGTGTCTTGTGGTCTCATTGCAGGTGACTTTCGAAGTAACCAAATATCTCTAGACTGGAAGCAAAGTTTATAGCTTCAATAACTCCATTTTTTTTTAATAATTTTAAATGCAGGTCCTTGAAATTGGAGCACCTAGTTTTGAGTTCTGGGCATATGTTGTGTGATCCTGAACACATAGCATTCTTTCCAGCCCATTCTTCTCATTTGTGAAATAGGAAAGCAGTGTCCCTTACTTGTAATTAAATGAGAAATATTTGCAAGTTTCTTTAAGTGTAGTCATTTTACCATCCCATCTTCACTGAGTTCTAACCAAAGCACATATATAATTTTTTTAATTTTATGCATATGTAGAATTATCCTTTTAAAGAAAGTTGTCAGCTTATTTGCACATTTTGCTATTTTCTGTTTCATGCAGGAAATAGTTTAAACGTTTGGTCTAGTTGAAAAATCTTTTGCATTAATTACCGGTATCAACTGGTGTCAGCACTTGTCAACAGGAAATGAATTTAGGAAACATTTTTTTCCTTCAGTTTTGGTTTCAATAGAGCTTAAAGCTCGGCTTTACCATAATTAAGTGTGGTTATTTTACTACTGTTTGGAAAAATGCACGATTGTGACCAATGAGCAAACATTTCCCAATAAAATTGATATAAATAGTTCTTTATGTATGTACATGTATAAATAGTAGGCACCCAAATGGAAAGCTAGGCAGCTAACTGAGGAAAGAGCTAAATGAAGCTAAACAGCAAACTAAATGGCAAAAAACATTTATGTTTATTAATGTTAATATAACTCTTAATAGGATATGTAGTATATAACTGTAAAATATACATGATTACTTAAGCAGCACACAGCCTCTAGTGGCAAAATGGACATTAGTATCCTTATTTGACTGACAATTAACCCATTTTGATTCCTAACTAGTGCCCTACTAAAGCATTCTGCTTTAAAAAAATATAAATTGCCTTGGAATTAAGTCATGTTAGGTAAAAATTAATTTTAGGACAAATGATAGGTGAGCATTCAGAAAGACTAGAAGAAATAATATGGTTCAATTAGTTGATTGATAATATATAAAAGTTGATATATAGTCATGATTTCTCAACAAAATTTTATTCCCCAAGTTAAATACAATGATAACAGAAAGCAAGAGAAGTGTAAGAACTCTGAAAGAAGAAGTTCAAAAGCTGGAAGATCTTTACCAACAGAAAATGAAGGTAAGAATTTTCCCAGTTTGATAAGTTAGCCAAAGCTATGGATTTAGTAACCTATTTGACATCAAACTAATATCTTTAAGTTATATCCTGTATTCTTTTCCAATGTTAATATAAGGAGTTGTTTTTTTTTTTTTAAGATTTAGTTATTTATGCATACAAGAAGTAGGGTACAGGCAAGAGATGTGGAGGGTGAGAGGATCCACCAGAGACTGAGTGGGGAACAGAACAGGCAGATTGACTGAAATACACTGCTAAGGGGAGCAACCAGCAAGACAGGAGAGGTCTGCTGTGCCGTGTGTGTAGCTCCCTAGCTGACTAAGGATCAAACTCATGCTGCAGTGGCTGCTTATAGCTTCACAGCACTGAGACTTAACCCTTTGAGCCACCAGGAAGGCCCCAAAGCTATGTTATTTCTTAAAAGACTTGATTAAGGCTGTTTCACCTTGAATATGTTTACTGTTTCATGAATTTGTGAATGATTCATTATCTTTGCAGTTTCAAAGTTTTGTTTTAAGTGTAATCTCTTCTACCTTTTTTAAATGTTTAGTGTTAAGTACTCCTAAAACTTGAACCCCAAAAAGGCCTTTTGTGTATGTGATTGACTATAAAGAGCCACTGCAAATTGACTATCCTGCTCAAATTCCAGTGACCCATTTATGCTGAAATCTAAAATGAGTAAAATAAGATTAATACCCCACCACCTCTACCCTACCTTCTGATCAGCATTTTGCTTAGGATTTATTCAGGTTACTGTTCACTACCACTTTGACAATTTATGTGAAAATTTTAACCAATATTTTTTACTTAGTTACAAAGTATCAGGAATTATAAAACTTTTTCCTTGACCTGTGATATATTTAGGGCCCATGTATTTTTTTAAGTAGTATAAAATTTTTATAAAATATTCTAGAATAATGTAAAATGAGTCATTTGGTAATTATTTTTGTTTCTTCATAGGACCTCCATGATAATGCCTGATTATTTTCTAACACACTTAATTCAAAGGCTTATTCCCTAATCCTTTTTCATCTTGAGAAACTTAAGAATTGATGGATTTTGGCTATTTTGCCTGTCAATAATTGATACCTATGTGAAATACATTAGTATGAGAATCATCCACCTATATGGATATTTTTACCTATATAAAAAGCCGCTTTGATACTCATAAAAGAAATTAAATCAGTATATTTTAAAATTTCCAAAAGTTCAAGCTTGAAAATACTGCTAAATTAAATTCTATACAGTCCTGTTGAAAAGGTCACATTTATGTTTGCAGTGTGAAATTCACAAAGGAGCATTTTACAAGTAAAACGGTAACATCTTGAGAGAACAAATGATTATTATTTAATGATTATTTTTAATGCTTTATGTAGATTTTTTTTAATACGTCTGGACAATATGTCACATCAAAAAATAATAACTTTTATCCTGATAGGAAGCTGAGGAAGAGGACAAAAAATGTGCCAATGAACTGGAGTCCTTGGAGAAACACAAGCACCTCCTGGAGAGTGCTGTCAATGAGGGCCTCAGTGAAGCTATGAATGAATTAGATGTTATTCAGCGGGAGTAAGTTGAATCTCACCAAAATTTATGTTTGTTTTCAGACTATTTAACATTATTATAAAACGACATCTATATTTACTTGCTTTTAATTGATAGTTATAGAGCTCTGGAGGGGGACAGGGAATGATGCACAGAACTAAGCAGGACAGTTTATAATTTAAGATGCTTTCATAGACAAGTACATTCTGTTAGTAATACAGGTTTTGCATCTCCCCCCAAGAAATAATTAGTAGCTTTTAATCTATGAACACAATGCAAAATTGTAAATCAATTCAAATAACTATTTGTTAGTAAATTTTAGTAGGCTTCAACTGTTTGGTTTTTTTTTTTTTTTTTTAAAGATTTATTTATTTATTTATACAAGCACTGACTATAGTCAGAAGCACGGGAGGGTGAAAGAATTCACCAGAGCCAGAGCAGGGAGCAGAACAGGCAGACTGACAAAGTACACTGCTGAGGGGAGCAGCAGGCGTGGCAGGAGAGGTCTGCGCGCCATGTGGGACCCTCGCTGGTAGCTGGGGATCTAACTGGCGCTGCAGAGGCTGCAGGCAGCTTCACAGCCCAGCTCTCAACCGCTGCGCTACCGGGGAGGCCCGAGGCTTCAACTGTTTTGATAAACTGTACTAAACTGTTTTTAAGATACATTTCCTAGAAATTTTGTATATTAGATAATAAACTATAGTTATGCTGTAGTTGTCTATAACAGTGAGTTATCGGTAACACAATACATACCTTCATAATCATCACACTATGCAAAATCATGCAATAAAAATCACAAAATTTATGGCTAAATTGAAATTTGGTATACAACAATCAAAAAATCCTTCAGTGACACACATAAGCTAAAGTTGGAGACCTAATAAAAATGTTAGCAAAGTTGTACACATCTTAAAAAAGTTAAGAAATACATAAATGCTGTGTAAATAAGATACTTTAGTCTAAAAAGACCTAAAATTTGCTTAGGGAAATGGACATTCACCATCTTGTGGTTTGTGGGTTACTGCAAAGAGGTAAAGGAAGGATTTATTTGAAATTGGATGAAAAGTGTTTCATCAGATGTGGGTGCATATGGTTCATCACGTATATCAGGAACTGGGGGAGCTTGTGGACACTTAAGGTGCTTGCTATCAAATTATACATTATCAAGTTTTCCTTACTGGTTTTCCATAAAATTTTAAAATTTACAATAGGGAAAATTCTAGCCGCGATTTGCAGTAACTGAATAATGGTGACAGTCCTTCCTTAAAGAATATTCTGTTATCTGTATATATAAATCTCTTTGTAGTCGATCTGTATAGTGAACAATTAATTCATAGGCTCTGCGTACATTTATATTAAAATATACTCCAAGGTGGAATTAATCCAATATGGCTGGTTTCCTAATAGGACAGTGGCTATGTGAAGACACTGACACATAGGGAGAGTGTCTCATGAAGATAGAGGATTGAAATGGTGAATTTAAACATCAAGAAAGGGCTGAGGCTAAGAGAAGTTAGGAGAGACAAATGAAACAGGAGAGACAAAAGAAACTTCCTCAGAGGGATTGTCACCTGCCTGAAATTTGATTTTGGGTTTCTGGGTTCCAGAACTGTGAGACAATAAATTCCTGTTGTTTTAGGTTTAAAAAAAGAAAGAAAGAAAGAAAAAGAGAGACCTGGGCTTCTATGAATTATACATAGAGCAAATAGCACATATGAATCATAGCCTGCTTTTATTGAATGTGAAAAGAAATAAGGCAGTGAGACCTGGTATATTAGGATTTTTCCTGGACATCTTAAACAAGAGTTTTTATTCTGCAGATACCAACTAGTTGTACAGATCACAACTGAGGAAAGGCGAAAAGTGGGAAATAACTTGCAGCGTCTTTTAGAAATGGTCGCTACACATGTCGGGTCTGTAGAGGTAAGCGTGTGAAGGTGTTTCCTGCAGTCTAAGAAAACTTTTGAAATGTTGATATATTTGTGTTTTATTTCTACAGAAATAATATTATTTCTGTGGAAAATATGTAGTAAAAATTTACTAGAAGAATCCTGTATAGCAGTATGGTAAGAGGACACTTGTGTCTTTTATAAAGTAATCTGTTTTGTTACATAAGCAACATACAATGATATTTATACATTAAGAGCAGTATGTCTGAAATATTTAAATCTTCACAGAAAAAGTTGCTGCCTCCTCTTTTGGATTTCTATCTCCCTAAGGGTCACAAAATAATTTTTTTTTTTTTTTTTTTTTTTTGGTCTACATAGGAGGTCATTATGTCCAAAGCCTCTGCAGTGCAGGTTCGATTCCTGGCCAGCCAGAGAGATACCCACATGGCGTGGCAGACCTCTCCTGCCTCTCCTGCTTCTTCCCTCAGCAGTGTATTTCATTCAGTCTGCTTGTTCTGTTCCCCACTCTGTCTCTGGTGAATCCTCTCGCCTTCCCATACCTCTGGCCTGTAGCCCGGTTCTTGCATAAATAAATAAATCTTCAAAAAAAAAAATTGAGGTAAAATATAAAGAAAGATAACAAAAATACAATTTTTTAAGGAAAATTAATCAAACTCATAATCTACTAAGAAAGGAATAAAAGCAAATCTATAAGTTTCATGTTTCAACTCAGAAAATTTAATGTCTACTCAACACATTAAAAATAAAAGAAAAAAAGATATATTTCCACTCTTAAAATAGTGGCAAAAAAATTAAAGTTTGTTAATGTGAACAAAAATGTGGAGATATGGGAATTATTTATCCTGCTGGAGTTGTAAATTTTAGAAAATAATTTGACAATTCCTTAAAAGTTATGCTGTTCCACTTGAGGTGTTTGATTAAAGAAATTTTAATAATGTGTGCTAGTATATTATACAGTGTTGAATAGTATACCCCAAAATTCATGCCTGTCTGGAATCTCCAATTACCACCTTATTTGGAAATATGGTTTTTGCAGATATTATTAGTTAAGCCCCTGAATCCAGTTGCTGATGTTCTTATAGCAGGTCATGTGAAGGTGGAAGTGCAGAAATCACAGTGACATAGCTACAAGCTATGGAGTACCAAGAATTACTGGGAATTGCTACATGTTGGGAAGAAGCAAAGCAGGATTCTTCCCTAGAGTCTTCAGAAAGCATGTCCCTCCCAGAATCTTGATTTCAGCTTTCTATCCTCCAGAACTCTGTTGTTTTAAACCATTAAGTTTATTGTAATTAGTTATGGTATAATATTTGTAATAGCTAAATAACCTGCTATTTCCTATTGCTGCTATAACAAATTGCCACTAATTTAATAGTGTAAAGCAACACAAATTTGTTTTCTTGTATTTCTGGAGATCAGAAATGTAAAATGGGTCCAAGGGCTGTAATCCTTTCAGAGACTCTAGGTTGGAATCCATTGCTCTGCCTTTTTCACCTTCCAGAGGCCAACTATAGCCCCTGGCTTGTGGACTCTTCCTTCATCTTCAACGCATATGGCATAGACCTCTCTTCTGTCCTTAATCTCTTCTCTACCACGCTGCTTATTCCCTTTTGCAAGAAGCCATGTGATTACATTGGTCCCAGCAGAATGTGCAAAATAGTCTCCTTTTCTTAAGATTCTTATCTTTTTTTTTTTTTTAAGATTTATTTTATTCATGCATACAAGAACCAGGATACAGTCGAGATGTGTGGGAGGGTGAGAGGATTCACCAGAGACAGAGCAGGGAACCGAACAGGCAGACTGAAATACACTGCTGAGGGGAGCAGTGGGCAAGACAGGAGAGGTCTGCCATGCCATGTGTGTATCTCGCCAGCTGGCTGGGATTGAACCCATGCTGCAGAGACTGCAGACAGCTTACAGCACTGTGCTCAACCTCCTGCGCCACCAGGGGAGGCCCTCAGGGTCACATCTGCAAAGTTCCTTTTACCATATAACATTCCAAGTTCTGGTGATTAGGACATGGATATTTTGGGCGGGCTGTTTTCAGCCTACCACACCGAGGAACAAACACAAATTCTTACAATAAAATGGATAAGTAAATTCTGATATATTCATTTAATAGAATACTATATATAGTAATGCTGAATAACTGTAACTGTATATTAACAAATAAATCTAATGGGTAAAATGTCATAGAGCATTGCATTTAGTATCATTCTGTAAATATGAAAGTTAAAATCAGGTACCACTAAAGTAGTATATTGTTAAGAGAGACATGTCTGTATTTGTGTGGATGTATGTGTTTGTGTGCATGTAGTAAAAGTAAAACAACCATTCAGGAATATGGTTGTCCCTGGGGGAGAAGAGAGATGATTAGGAAGGGGCACAAAAGGGGCCTTGGTGCTGGATAGAGGTTTTCCTTTTATTGCTATTTTTATAATTGTTGCATCCTTATTTATAAATTAACAGTTGCTAATTATTTCCACTAGAAACATCTTGAGGAACATATTGCTAAAGTTGATAGAGAATATGAAGAGTACATGTCTGAAGATCTGTTGGAAAATATAAGAGAAATTGGAGACAAATATAAGAAGAAAGCTGCTCTACTTAAGCCTTCTGATGAATGAAGATTAAATGTTGATTAAGCAAGAACTTTATTGAATGTGTAAATTTTGAAATATGCTTTCTTTGTAGGCTTAAAAAAATCTATCATATCCTGTACCCTTCCTTAAAATCAAGTCTCATAGCCACGTCTTCCCAAACCCGTGTAATGTTTTTATATTTTTTTATAAATCTGTTCATTAGCTAAAAATATATATTGCCTGAAATTATGATAACTTGTTGAATTTTTATCTTTAGATATGAAAGACCAGTTATATTATGTGTGCAGTTAATAAAATTGCATGGTAAAATGTATTTTTTCCCTGATTTCTCTACCTAACTTAAGATGATTAGAGAATAGGTATTAACATCCAAAAACCGGGCCTCCCTGGTGGTACACGGGTTAAGACACAACCTATGAAGCTGTCCGCAGCCACTGCAGCACGAATTCAATTCCTGGTCAGCCAGGGAGCAATCCACATGGCGCAGCAGACCTCTCCTGACTCTCCCCGGTCCTCCCCTCAGCAGTGTGCTTCTGTCAGTCTGCCTGTTCTGCTCCCTACTCTGTCTCTAGTGAATCCTCTCACCCCACACACACACACACACACCCCTCTGGCCTGTACCCCAACTCTTGTATGCATAAATAAATCTTAAAAAAAAAATCCAAAAATCAGGAATCAATAAACTTACTATGGGCTAAATCCAGTCATGCCCATTCATTAATATATTGTCTATTACTGCTTTCACTCTGCAATAGCAGAGTTTACTATATGTCAGACCATATGGCCCACAAAGCCAAAAATGTATAATATCTAGCCTTTGACAGAAAATGTTTGCCAATCCCTAATATAAACTCCACAAAGATGGGTGGTAACTAAAAAACTTTCCTAGTGACTGGACATATACAGTGCAACCCACTCCTGACCCAGACCCAAGTAGCTAATGTTCTTTTCACTTCATGCAGTCTTTGCTTTGAAATAAGTTGGAGCATATTGTAGAATGTGCAAATCGTAAATAATGTAGTTCAACCTCTCATTTACTCCCCCAGAAGTTCTGATTTACCTCAGGTCACATTTTAGTGATAGTGGCTGCACTGGAACTTACTTAAACTGGTGCACAACTGAGTAAAAGCCACAGGTGCCATAAAGTATGAATGCTGGGTGGTAAGGATGGCAGAATTGAGGTTTTAAGCAGGTTTAACTTTTTAGGAAGCTTCTTAAATTAAACTGCTACCTGCCTCCATTCAAACTTTGTTCTTTCAAGCTCTAATGCAAGTCACAATGAAAAACAATAAAATGAAATGTAAGCAATAAAGACAATGTAAAAACAATGGAATCCCAACTAAACTTTATGAGGAAGGGCATTTAGCCTGAGAGTGGGAAGAAGACAGGTTCATAGTTTTCTTCAGTGGTGGAAATAGTCTATCTGCACTAAACAGTAAGATACCAGCCATATGTATCGTTTGTGTACTCAAATGACATACATAACAAAAAATGTCATATGTAATCCCATATATAGATGTGTATGAGGGAGAAAGCAGTGACGTTACCTGGATGCTCATTCACAATGCAGATCTTGGCCCCACCCCAAATTTATTGAATAAAATACACTTTTTATAGTTTACTGACATTTTAACTTACAAGTTTTGACATACACCTGCAAAATCATCACAATTAAGCTAATGAATATATATCCATCATCACTGAAAATTTCCCCTGGACCCTTGGAAATCCTTTCTTTTGCCCATACCTGACACTTACCCCACATCCATGTCACATAAGCACTGACCTCCTTTCTGTTACTATAGATAAATATACATTTTTCTAGAATTTTGTATAAATAGAATCACATAAATACATGCATATGATTTATTTTATTCAAAATAGTTATTTTGATTGTAAGATCCAGCTATACTAAATACACATAGTTCATTTTTATTGCTAAGCCATATTACATAAATGAGCTTGTTTATCGATTCACTTGTTGATAGGTTTAGTGTTGGCTCTACTTTCTTACAAATAAAGTCATGAATATTTGTAAGGATATATGGGGGATTTTTTGTATTGAGTGAATAACTAGGAGTGAAATGGCATATTTCACTTTGAAAAGACTTAGAAACTTCTATCTCTGTGTTATACCATACATTCCGACCTGTAGTGAATGAAAATTCCAGGTTTTGCACATCCTTATCCTCACTTATGAGTTTTTAATTTTAGCCACCGTAAAGTATGTGTAGTTCTATCTCATGATATTAAATTGCATTTCTCTAATGACAAACAATGTTAAACATCTTTCCATGTGCTTATTTATCACCCATAAATCTTCTTAGTGAAGTATCTTTTCAAATATTTGCCCACATTTTTACTGGATTGTTTATTATTACTGATTTGCAAAAGTTTTTGTTATTTTAAATGCAAGTCTTTCATCTGATGTGTTTTGTAAATATTTTCTCCCAATCTGTCTTGACTTTTCATTTTCTTAACAGTACGTTTTGAAAAACAAAAGATTTTAATTTTGATGAAAACCATTTCATTGCCTTTTTCACTTTCTGTATTATGTGTAGTATTAAAAACTCAACCAAACCCAAGAAATTTTTGTCAATGTCACCTGATGTTTCACCTGTTTTATTCTATAAGCATTATATTTTTGTCTACTGAATAAATATCATTATCCAAATTTGCAATTTTAAAATAACCCCAAGTTGCTAATATTACATTAAAATTTGAAATGCGTGACGTAAACAGAGTCACCGTTAGTTAAATATTATCCTGAATTTAGTTAAGATTCCTCAGTTCCACTGTTCTCTTCCTATAAATTGTCTCCCATTTGAATTTCCAATCCGACTTCTTATTTTAGAATAACACATAAACCTCTGTTTTGTCGAACCTTCTTTGGTATCTTTCATACATGCGTTGATTCACCATATATACATAATTAATTGGGTTTTTTCTCTTGTCAATCTGTTTTATGTGGATTTCATTGTTTGCCTGTCTAGAAGAACTTAGAAGGGCAGGAAGCATCACTCTTTCCCATACCTTCACTCCAACTGGTGTTTTCTCTTTGCCCTAGGAATTTTTCTAAACAGTTTTAAATTTTCTGATATGAGGTGTTTTGTACCCCTAATTTTTATAAATATCAATTTGTATTGCATTGCGATAAGAGAATGTTATCTTTACTAGTTGTAGTTTGTACTTTGCTGTGATTTTTCTCTGTGGCCTTATAGTTTTCACTAGGTGTTCATGAGCAATTGATAGGAAACCATATTTTCTTTTTGTGATGTTTCTTACCCATAGATCTCTTCCAAGTCCATATGTGTCTCTCCTCCATTTTCTGTCTCCAAATATTCTCCCCAGCAGTACTAGAGTGCAAGTCAGGCCACAGAAACAAGAAGAAGAAGGGCCAATCTTTCTTTTACGTTATACATGTTCACCAGCTCCACACCTAATTTCTAGCAGCTCGCCAGCTCAGGAAGTCTGGTTGATGCCATACTGGTGTTACAGAGCAACCCCGTTTGGTTGCCTGAATGTGGGTCCTCACCTGCGCACTTAAAAGGAACTTATTAATACTCAGCTGCATAAATAAATAAATAAATGAATAAATAAATAAAATAAAAGGTTTATTTACAAAAGAAAGGGAAGGTCAAGAAATGAATAACTCAGGGAGAAAAAAAGGGATATAAACTCATGAATGCGTCCTACCTGTTCTGCTGACCTGGAATCCCAATGGCACACTGAGAGCTGGCAAAGAGCCAAGAGCCGTGAGGCCAAGAGTGTGACCGAAAGCCCACGTGTCTGGTTTTATGCCAAACCCGGCTGCTTAACCCCACCCTCAGGTCCCAGCCACCCTCCCTTCGGTGATGATGGGATTTGTCATTTCCAGTGTCTTGATGGCTTTGGTCTGGAGTGGGAGTGAAGTTGGCAAAACCTGTATGGAGTTTGCTCAGGACATCCTTTCCCCCTAACACTGGGACTTGTAATCCAAGACAGCTACATGTAAGTGATGGTGGGAAAATGGTGCTCACTTTCTGTGTTGTGTTGCTCCTCCCACTTTTATGGCGATTCTTTTTTTTTTTTTTTATCACTTTCCTTAGTTTGGCTCTTGTAGACCCTTTTTTGGAAGTGCTCTCCAAACATTGAGAATTGTCCTGTTTATAGTTGAACTAATAAAATAATAATAAAATAATCTTCCTGACATGTTATAGTATTTCAAAAGCTTTAAATGGATTTTTGCAACCACTAACACCAAACAAAAGATCTCTCTGAGACTAAACCCTCAGAGAAGAAGCAAGGAGAAGGACCAGCTTAAACAATGGGAACCTGGGCCTCCCTGGTGGCTCAGGGGTTAAGTCTCAGTACTATCAAGCTATCCCAGCCACCATGACATGAGTTCGATCCCCCAGCCAGGGAGTTAACCTACATGGCACAGCAGACCTCTCCTGTCTGGCCCACTTCTCCCCTCAGCAGCGTATTTCAGTAAATCTGCCTGTTCTGGTCCCCACTCTGTCTCTGGTGAATCCTCTCACGCCCCACACCTCTGGCCTACACCCCAGTCCTTGAATGCATAAGTTAATTAATTAATTAATTAATAATGTGAACCCAAAGTTTACATTCAAATGAACTATAAATACCACACAGTAAAACTGAGAGCACAGCTGGGAATAGAGCCAATGTCTTAAATGTTGATCAAATCTCTCAATTAGGCTGAGAATCTGATCAAAATCTGGGACTTGTTAAAAATAAAATTAAAAAACATACCAAAATGAAGTTGTTCCTGCCACCCAGACTTAATACCTTGTCTAAGTTCAACCTCTCCCAAAAATCTTAAACCAATCAATCTGGAGTTTCTTGATCAGCACTAGTGATGTAATCTGCATGATAAGACCCCTCTGCCTTCCTCTGAGGGAGGATGGCTTTTTTGTTTGTTTGTTTGTTTGTTTGTTTGTTTGTTTGTTTGTTTGTTTTTAAAGATTTATTTATTTATACAAGAACCAGGGTACAGGCCAGATTTGAGGGCGGGTGAGAGGATTCACCAGAGACAGAGCAGGGAACAGAACAGGCAGACTGACAAAATACACTGCTGAGGGGAGCAGCGGGCGAGACAGGAGAGGTCTGCTGCGCCATGTGGGACCATCTCTGGCCTGCAAGGATGGAACTGGCGCTGCAGAGGCTGCAGAAGCTTCACAGCGCAATGCTCAACTGCATGTGCCATCAGGGAAGGCCCTGAGGGAGGATGGCTTTAACTGAAATAATTTTTCATTTCTTTTATGAAAAACTTTGTCTCACCCTCTTTGTGACTATATCAATCCTCCGTTTAGTACTTCTTGCAGCAGTACTACTAAGTCTAATTTGATTTGCTAAGTTAGGTGAAGGGGTCAGTGAGGTGGATGCAGGAGAGAGAATTAGTTTCACATACCTGATATCCAAAGTTGATTTCAGCAATATCAGTGAAGGGTAGTGTTAAGGTCTTCTATTGTTTGTGTGTAATTGTGTTTGGGTTTTTTGTTTTTTTTTTTTTTGGTATTTATATTTTGCAGATGAGTAAAGCCATCGAAATACTATCTTTCACTTTTTTGACTGATTTCACTCAACATAAGCACCCTAAGTTCCATCTATTTTGTCCCAGATCCCACCTTTTCATCCTTCTTCAAACCTGTGTAATATTCCATTGAGTATATGCTCCACAGTTTCTCTACTCATTCATCTGTTGAGGGCACTGGGCTTGGTCCCATGAGTTGGCAATTGTAAACAGTGCTGCTGTGTACATAGGTGTAGATAAATCTTTTTTGTGTTAAATTTTTCATGCTATTTGGATAGATAACTAATGGTGGTATAGCCGGGTCAAATGGGATTTCCATTTTTCTTTTCATTTTTTTAAATAGTTATTTTAAAGATTCATTTTTAGGGGCCTCACTGGTGGCACAATGAGTTAATAAAATACATCTTTTTTTTTAAAAGATTTATTTTTATTTATTTATGCATATAAGTACTGGGGTATAGGCCAAACTTGCGGGGGGTGAGAGGATTCACCAGAGACAAAGTGGGGAGCAGAACAGGTGAATCTATAGAAATGCACTGCTAAGGGGAACAGCAGACAAGATAGGAAAGGTCTGCTGTGCCATATGTGGGTTAGCTCCCTGACTCAGACACTTGCAGTGGGCCTTCATAGTAGTAGCACTGAGCCTTAACTCCTAGGCCACTAGGGAAGCACCTCCTCACCCCACATTTTTATTTTCTTGGGACATCTCCATACCACTTTCCACAAGGACTGTCCTAGCTTGCAATCCCACCAACAGTGGATGACAGTTCCTTTTTCACTATAACCTTGCCAACATTTGTTAAATTGCATTCTTTTTATATCAGCCTTTTCTCAAAAGGGTGAGATGGTATCAGAGTGTGGTTTTAACTTGCATTTCTCTTATAATAAGTGCTTTTGAACATTTTTTCATGTTTCTATAGGCCATCTGAATTCTTTTTTTAGAGATGTATCTATTGAGGCCCCTTATCCATTTTTTAATTGGGTCATTAATTTCCTTGTTATTGGATTATGTAAGTACTTTGTAAATTTGCTATGCAAATATTTTTTCCAATCTGTAGGTTGCTTTTTGTTTGTTTTTTGTGATGGTTTCAGTTGAGATACAAAAGCTTTTAAGTTTGATATAGTCCCACTAGTTTGTTTCGCTTTTTCTCTTGCTGCTGGAGTTGTATTCCTGAATACATTTTTTGTGGTAGATGTCTTATAGTGTGTCCCCTATATTTTCTTTCAAATAGTTAATAGCTTCAGTTCTTATGTCCAAGGCTTTAATCCATTTTGAGTGAAATTTGATGTTTGATATTAAATATGAGCCTTGATTTATTCCTATTGCATGTGGCTATCCATGTTTCCCAGCACTATTTATTAAAAAAGGCTATTTTTTTCTCCACTGTGTGGTCTTAATTCCTTTGTCAAAAATTAACTTTCCATTACATGGATTATAAAAAATCCATTTATATGAATTTGTCTTTGGGCTTTCAACTCTGTTGCATTGGTCTGAGTTTCTGTTTTTCTTCCAGTACCAAACTGTTTTGCTTACTGTTGCTGTGCAATATTGTTTGAAGTCAGAAAGTGTGATGCATCTATTTTTCTTTTCTCTCAGAATTGTTTTAGCTATATGAGGCCTTTTGTTTTTCCATATAAATTTCATAATTGTTCTGTTTCCTTTCAAAAAAATCATTGATTTTTTTTAAGATGTTTGTCTTTTAGATAATTCTTTTTTTTTTTTAATGATTTATTTATTTATTTATTTATTTATACAAGCATTGGGTACAGTCAGAGGCACGGGAGGGTGAGAGAATTCACCAGAGCCAGAGCGGGGAGCAGAGCAGGCAGAGGGACCGAAGT